GGAAAGGAAGATCCAAACTTTGGCGCCGTTTTTGTTTTTAGTGGCAAGTATGATACAAACACAATTTTCTTTGTGATTGAGCAAATAGGCAGTCCATCTGATGAACCATCTAAGACATTCTTGATAATGATTCCTAACAGAATTGTACTTTGCCGTAAGTAGCACTGCTTGCTAATCGCTATTGGAGGGTTCTCGAATTAAGGCACCGTTGTCTGTTCTAAGCACGCGGAGCATGTACCGAGCTGTTGCAGGCTTGATGTGAACTTCCTGCAGCCCTCCTGCATTTAGTGCCAGAAATAGAGCAAGTGGAGGGACTTCACACAGCGAACGGCTCCGCTCTATCGCTGCACTCACGCGAATTGGATTCACTTGGCGTTATTACCCAGAGCCTTTTCTTCTGTGTTCATTCCGATCCAATCTTCCTACGAACACGAAGGAGAAAGTCGCGTTAAATTTAAGGTTTTAGTCGCGATGGCAGCCTCGTGCTCATGTGCCCAAAGTCAGAGAACACTTTCAGAGAATGCTTTGTCCACTTAGAGTACTATGAGGGCCCCATCGGACGTCCGCCACGGAGGGTGCCGACAATTACGCCTCCGAAATGAGTGAGACACTTATCGGTCCATTTAATGGAATTTTTTTCTTGACCTCTTCAAGATACCCAGCTTTATGGGGAATAAATAAATGTGTGAGGATTCCACCCCCTGCCCCCTTTCCTTAATCAGAGCGGAGAATTTGCCGATGGCTTTGAAAGATGTATTTACCAAAATCAGACTTTCAACTGCTCAATTACTGGCTTCTGCAAAAATGCATGAGAAATTTATTGTCTGATTCTAGACCTGAAATTAAGATCATTTTAGGGAGAAAAAAGCCAGTAGTTGCAGCACATTATATGCTTTCCGTCTTTCTTTTAGTTTAGTGCTTTTCTACTTTTGAAACTAGCTGCTCTGCCTTTGTGAGTGCTCTGGGGATTTTTATTGGGCCATCAGTGATTGTTTGACGTTTTTCTATTTACATAAAATCATCAAGAAATGTAAAGTATAGGGTGGCCAGTAGCATGGTGCAAACAATGGGACTTTAAGAAATGTTTCATATTTAAAAGAGAAAAAGATGACATATTTAGTAAGAAACTTATGTGTAAATACAGGTTGGAAGCATTTTAATTTCTGTTTAACAAAATCCCATAGTACATTTAAAAGGGTCAAATAAAAGTCAGTAAAGTTCGATGTCTAGAAGAGTACAGTCTAAAGATCTCTAATTTATATTTAATATTAATTTATATTTAATATTAGAGTTACATGACTGTAATGTAATTGTGAAACTGCCACTTTGAAAATTATATACCTTGTTTATTTAAACAGTCATAAAGGATAATAAAAGTGAAAAATGCATAATCCAGGTATCTTTCTGCAAAAGCAATGGGAATAAACTACCCTTTGGGTTATTCCCACAGAAAACTAGAACTAGTGGATGGAGTTTTGTCTCCAAGAGACAAGGCAAGGCAAGTCACCCCGTTTGATTCCCCCTGCCTAACCCCAGGGGACTGACCTGGTCATTCTATATCATGTAGAAATGGCTAAAGACATGCCAAGTAATCACCAGAAGGTGGTATATTTCGATGCACCTGGATCTCAAGAAAACACACTTAATGAATATTGATTCGGTAAACTTTCTACATATTATGGCAACCAGAACATGACTTAGAGAGGCAGGTTGAAATATGAAGTTTTTATTAGAGAACAGAGGAGAAAAGTGAGGGTCAGGACGGGAATAGGCATTTCAGTTCTGGGCCTGATCTGAATTGAGGTTCTCGCATTATTGGGGTGTATTTTCCCTTTCCTCTTTCTGAGTGGAGACTAGACCTTTCGTAATTCCCCTATGTGTGTTCACCCCCTTTTACATTATACTACTTTACTCATTTTCTATTGTTACTTTAACAAATTATCACATAAGTAAAGGGCTGAGATGACGCACACTCATTATCTCACTGTAATAGAGGTCAGGAGTCTACCGCTGGTCTCGCTGGGCTGACATCAAGGTGTCAAAAGGGCTGTGCTTTATTCTGGTGGGTCTAGGGGATCTGTTTTCTCTCCTTTTCCAGCTTTGAGAGGCCACCCACATTCCTTGGCTCATGGCTCCTTCCTCCATCTCCAGATCCAGCAAAGGGCCTTCACGTGGCATCACTCTGACCTTGCTTCTGCTCTCCCATTTTCTCCTGTCTTCTTCTGCCTCTGTTTTCCACGTTTAAGGACCCTTATGATTACACTGGATTCAACTAGATAATCCAGGATGATCTTTCTATGCTAAGGTCAGACAGTTGGCAACCTTAACTCCATCTGGGACGGTCATGCCCCTTTGCAGTGTAATATCTTCACAGGGTCTGGGGAACAGGGCATGGCATCCTTAGGGCACCATTATTTTTCCTACAGCTAGGTCCTTCTCAACTGTCTTTTGTTCCTGTTGCTTCCTGACAGATAAGGATTTCTGAAGTCACCGCTGGTTCCTTGCATAGGAAGTAATTTAGTGAAAGGAATAAATTCGGGATAAAGGAAGAGGTCAGGGACTATGGACATTTTAACCTGAGAGTGGCTGGGAGGGTTGCAGTTACAAATACACGAACGTCACATGTCGACAGCAACTTGAAAGATTTCGGTATTTGGTTTGCTCAATCTGCTTCCTCTGTGGCTGCTCGTATGTGTCTGGAGGGCTGGAGATTGAGGAGGGAGCTAGGTGCCTGTCAACCCTGTAGATCATGTGTACAATCCCAATGGGGAGAGGAAGAGATGGGCCTCTTCCAGGGGCCAATCAAAAGGGGTAAAGGGAAGAGGAGCAATGTGAAGGGCTGTCCGGGACTCAGGTAATTCCTGGTGAGCGGGCGAGTGTAACTGGGCATAAAATCCATGGCCTTTCTCCACAGGACTTCCCACAGTTAGTCAAATGTCAAGCCATGTTTAATGTATATTTAAAAATATCCCTTAGCATCGCCGAGAAAAGCGTTCTTGTCCTCTCTTCTGGGCTATTTCTTCCTAAAAATTTTCCTCAGTTTCTCATTTCCTCACCCCATTCCCATAATTAAGGGTACTTTGCTAACAGAATTATCTAGTTAAATATTAAATCCTATTATTTCTCTACTTAAAAATCCATAAATGACTTCCCATGTAGTTTAGGATCACATCTTCAGCTAAGTACCGTGACATACAGGTCTTTCCACCAACTGACCCCTCCGTGGTTCCCTGACCTCATCTCCAGCCCCGTCCTTCTAGGACCTAGATATTCTTACCATCTCCAGGCATGCGACGCCTTTAAAAGGGTTTACTGCTGTCACGTCTTTTTGGTTAACCTGTCTTTCCCCTTTCCCCTGCTGAGCTGTCAGTCTTGTCTAAGGACGGCCACTGTCTAGCATCGGGCCAAACATAAAGTGATACCTGAGTAAGTGTCTTCTTATTGAACCAATGAATGAGCCGAGTGCTTTTCTACAGAAATAGAAAAGCACTCGGCTCATTCATTGTTTGGTGGAGACCAAACAAACCTTATCTTCTAAGTAGTTTTCTTCACATTTATATCACTGTCCGTTCGACTTAGACATAGTCATCCACCTGCTTTAAGAAGCATGATGATGATAGTGACTCTTTGCTTCCTGTACTTCCTTACATTTTACCTGCTTGACCCGTGTGGGCATTTGGGTTTGTAACCCTTGACAGTGCTTAGCAATCTGAAACCGATGTAAACTTAGCAGTGTTTCACAGGCTCATATATATGACACAAGACAGTAAATAAATTTTGCCTACTTCTCAGATTAGTTGAGGAAAGAATGTATCAAGTGATAGGACTTGACCTTGTTTTGTTTATTTATTTGTTTGTTTTTTAATAGGACTTTTGAGAGTTATTCAGAGACTTCGCTTCATGGAATTTGGCTATTTTCTAGTCTTAAATCCACTCACAAAGGGCAGGGAGACAGAATCGTAAAATAATTTCAAATGAGGAGATGCCAAAGTATTGGGGGGAAATAGCCATGTTTGTGACTCATTATGCTTTCTTGTTAATAAGAAAGTATGTACATATTCAAAATGGGCACTAGAAGCATCTTAATTAAATTCAGGGACAATGATATGCCTTTCAGCAGTTTTATTTAACATTGCTTTGTTAGTAGTAATAAAATTAAGAATGAAAAAAGTAACTTGTAGATATTAGAAAAGAGGAAATAAACAATTCTTTATTTGTAGATTATGGAACTATATTCTTGGAAACCCCCAAAGAATGAAATGAAAAGCTATTTGGAACAATAAAAAATTCAGCAAAGTTACTAATTAAACAAATTAATATATACAAAATATTAGCTTTTATATGCAAACAATTACCTGTTTGAAAACATAGTAGAAGAAATGATTAAATTTATAATAGCAACCAAAAAATAAACCAGAAACATAGATCTGCAAAGAGAAAAATTTGAAATGGTAGAAAAACTTTTTAGTAATAGGTAAGACAGTACTGTTCAATACGGCTCAGTATTTGCGATACAATAATTTGCCTCTTCTAAGTTGGTATAAGTGTGACTTTTTTCAGCACTTACGAATGGACAGCTGATAACCGCAAATTATCTTATTTCATCTTCTGGACTACCTGTGAGTTTGAAATGAAAGTGAGGCTTAAATTTTGAAATACTTTGCCTGAGAGTTCACGCTTACCCCATAAAATAAATACCACGTATTCTTTTCTTATTTGTACAGGACTCCTGTATCTGTCCATTCTAGTGCGTGACTGTGACTCGTTTCTATGTCCTCCTCATTCTATTGCGAGTTCTAAAACTACATTAATTGTTGAATGTCGGTGAGTGAGTGAGTGTGTGTGTTTGAGTGTGTGTGTGTGTTCACTTGATTATTTCTAAAAGATACTGTGTATTGAGAGAGAGTCCCCGGTTGACTTTTTTCAACCCAGTAACTAGGATTTAAGATCGCCCCCTTACTCTTTCCTCAGGCAGTGATCTGGTCTTGTCTTCCCACCAGGTATTTCTGCTCACTGTCTGGAATTTTGAACTGTACATGATCCCCCTGGCATTACTGCTGCTTTTTGTCTACAATGTCATCAGACCCGTGAAAGGGAAGGTCGGCAGCATGCAGGACAGCCAGGTGAGCAACGCTTCCAACAATTCTGACCTGTGACTGGGAAGAATGTGAGCGATGATAAACCACCAGCAGCACCGGCACCAGAACGTCGCCCAGGTCCATGTGGTTTGAGACTTGCGGGGCCACCCTGCACGTATATTCACGCTGTAGTGAGACTCTCCCATTGGGTGCGATCCGGAGCCTGCCTTCTGTGGCATCGTAGGTGTCTGAGTCTTGGTTCACGGTCTTAGCATGAGGAGAGCCCTCTGGCTCGTGGGCATCATTTCCACGCTAGCAGAACCAGAGCACATCTAGCTCTCCATGTGGTCACTGTGAGGGACATTCCCAGCCACCAGGGAAAAGCCTTTGGTGGCTCCCTGAAAGTGGGTGGGCCTGGGTCCCTCTATTCTCGAGTGCCCAAGTTTTTGTTGTAAGTCTCAGATCTCCCATGGCGTTGAAGGAAGCACTGGCCAGGCCTCTTCCCCTCTCGCCCCAACCCAGACGGCCTCCTGCTCTGGGTGAGCAGGGCCTCGTAGTTCTGGACTTGCTCGATGCTATAGTCTTGGCGTTCCAGATTCAAGAACCAAGTCGTTGTGTTTTGTTGTTGTTGTTGTTTTGTTTTTTAATCTGAGGTTTTGAGACTTAATAGCAGATTAGCCTCACATGAGTTTTTCAAGACTCAAAAGGCTGACCATCCTCACCAATTTTTCCTTATAATGTTCTCATTTTTAAAAAATCTCTGAAATAATGGATATTAAAGGGATATTTTTAGTGTCCTTCGGGATATAGGGGAAGTGGGGGAAATGGGTGTTTTATCAGGGAGTAAAACCTTGAGCAAATTTAAAATTCCATTTTGTTTAATTTTTGATTGTTTAATGCAGTGGGCATGGGCATATGTCAATAATGAGGATCCTAAAGATGCTAGAACCACCTAATAAATATCTTTAAAGTACAGGTTCATTTAAGGATTAAGTTTCACAGAGATATAAATGAAAGAAATTTTTACAGAGAAACATCTGTAATAAAAATGCTGTCAACTAACATTTTTACCATTTTAAATCAGATTTTGTTACATGTATGATGTATATAGTTATAGCATGTATGTGTGTACATATGTGCATATGCGTATGTGTTTAAAGTATATATAAACATATACCTTGGTACACAATTAATTTACAAAACAGTACACAATTAATTTACAGAACAGTTCCAATTCATTACCTAATTCAATCTTGACAACGCACCCATGAAGGAGGCAAGAAATACTATTTTCTTTTTGTGCTCGATAACATTAAGGCTCAGACTGGCACAGCGATTTGCCCAAAGTCACACAGCAAGACTGTGTCTCAAGCTGAAGACCTCTACGTCGTAATTAGTGTTTTCTTCTCCTATAACATGTTTTCACTATATTTGTTTTTATCCATTTGCTTTAATGAAACATGGATGCTGCCGACAGTGAATAGGTTAGTTCCCCAGCATCAGTGAGTGTCACACGAGCTGCTAGTTGAAGCGCGTGGGTATTCCGGGAGGAAATGTGGTACCAGCCCCCGAGAAAGTGCTTGATGACTGCTCAGTGGTGTGGTGGAGTTTAGTGGAATACTCCTGGGTCCTTCAGAGTTCCTCCCTTTTAAGAGCATGATGTTGACAAATCCTTTTTCTGTGGGAACAATGAATGCTAAACGGTGTGCTGACCTCCGCAAGGTTAAGCAGAAAGGTAAGTGTTCAGGCGGGAAGGAAACTCTGCTTGTCTGACACCCAGCATTCTGTACGAGCTGCTGAAACCAAATTGCGAACCAACATGCGTTGGCTTCTACATATTGCTGTGATCTGATTGAAATTTACCTCTTACATAGTCAAGATTTCTAAACTAATCTGAACCAGTCCGTTTGCATCACAGCCGGTGCTGTGGCCCCTGAACGGAAGCCAGGCACCCTTGAAACCAGAGCAGAGCCTGAGTTTCCTTCCCTCACCTGCCCCCCGCCCTGAACCCGAAGCCCAAGGAAAATAATAGTACCGTATAGAAACCTGTAACTTATTCTTGCGATTGATTATATTCAGACTAATGCATTTGCTACTGTCTAATGTTTCAGTAATGGCCCCAAAGGAAAAGAGAAATCATTATAACAATGAGTTTAGCACAAACGGAGTATGGTATTCTCAGCCTTAACGTAGCAGTTGGTTCATTTGTCAGAATAAGAACAAAACTGTTTGCAGAAAGTACAACTCGGCAATGTATTTTTAAAGCTGGATGCTGTCAAAGGGCAGTCTCCTAATAGCTTTATTTATAGTTAAGTTTTATGTAGATTAAGCATATTGTTGATAGTTTTGCCATGGTGTCCCTGAACTTTAAAAGTGTTATTTTTTTAAAGAGCTTATAAAGTATTTTAAAAGCACTAGTGCTTAAATTATGTAGGAAAACTTTAAAAAATGTGTATAAGTTTAATTTGCATTTGCTCATTTCAGTATTTGAGTATTTTATTAACCAATTGTGCTTTTTCCTTTCAGGAGAGCACAGACCTAGAGGATGAGGAGGAGGAAGATGACAAGGTGGGTGTGCTCAAGAAAGAACATGCAAAGGGACATTGATATTTTCAGCAGATAGCATTCCTCCAGCTTGAGTCAAACTCCGACTTTTTTCTCAGTACTATAGAGTGACCCGAATATTAATATTCTTGTAATTTAAAAAAGATACCCTTTTTAAAGTTTTTTTTTTTAATTCTTAAAAAAAAAAACAAGGATGAAAAGGGGTAAAATATGACGAATAATCTAAATATTGTAAAAAGCGTACCTATAGGAGACCTGTCATTAGATGAAATTGAAGATGGGCCTTCTCCTTGGTGTATCAAATGCAGGTGAGACGTGGCCGAGGAAGTCACAAGTAAATCAAGTGAAATTGCTCTTCCTTTGGGTTCACGTCCGCGCTCTGTGGGGTGGTCACCCACTTCAGGGCCTGTCACTTTCCCAGCTGTTGCTGGCACCACTTTCAGCTATATGTCTGGGTACATCTGTCCTTTCTCTTCCCCCGGGAGAATCTCTCAAATCTGCTGCTTTTGTTGTCATTATGCTTTCAGACAAACCTTCTGGAATAAAATGAAAAAAAAAGAAAGAAAGAAAGAAAGAAATGCCAGATGAGATGCTACTAGCTTAATGGACTTCCAGTCCCCTTGAACCTGTGGGTTTATGGGGCTCGTTATAGGAGGCTTGAGGGGGAGGAAAAGGTCAAAAGGCAGAATCTCGAGAGTTAAGTATCCAATCTAAAATTCCCAGGAAATAAAAATGAATTTAAAAGCACTGGCTCCGTGACATGAACAGCCTTAAAATTAATCAAGAGAGCCAGATGCTTTTGCCCATTTGAAGCAAATTGGGTGAATTACAAAGTAAATCTTATTTGTTGTGCTAAAATGATCATTAATAGGAAAATAATAAAATAAAACAGTAAAATATTTCTTAAATGTGAATTGACCTTTTTCAGAATAAAGTCACACAGATGCAACTTTTTTCTTGATGAATTTACGTGAGCGGCTTCTGGGTGATGTCACTCCATGAACATTAAAAACAGTCCTAGCCAAGCTAATAGGATGTTTTACCGAAGGAAACACAAGTCTTAATGAAATTATTTTGAACCTACACTAGGAAAAATTCTAAATTTTAGTAACAAAGGCTTAAAAATAAGAAAGATTTCTTTCTGTTGGGCCAAACGTTTTTAAAGGGGTGACCCACAGAATAAACTGCCCTTCAGAGATCATTGTGACCCACATATATCTGCCCATCTGATAAGGTCAGCATCCCACAGGAAGACAATGAAGGAAAAATGGGGTTCAGTAAATTAGCAGGCAACAGATTGAGACCAGTGGCTGTCGAGGTCTAACCTTACACTGAGGTGCCTCGCGGGCTATCTGGGGGCCTGGGGTCTGGAGGTGGAGCCGTCTGGGCTGTGCTTAAGCCTCTCTGGGCAAAGACGGCTGAGTTGGAACCGTGGCATCTTCATGGATGAGCCTTGGAGCTGCTGCGTTCACGCAGGCGTGGCCCTCCACACGGTCCCACCCTGAGGCTGTCCGTAATAAGACCCTCCTCACTTTCGCCGGGGCAGTTTTGTTCTTGAGATGCTTCGATTGTAATATTTGTTTTCATAAGGTCTTTAATGGCCACAGCGTGGTCATGTTTGTTTTGCTTCCTTGATTTTCTCTTTCTATGAAGTCTTGTAGAGGAATAAGCCTAAAACGGAACTTGGACTCCTATTCATGCCTCTTCCGCTTAGCACAACCCTCCTGCTGGCAGAGGACACTGGCGAACCTCGCTGTCCTCGTCCCTGTCTTTTCTGTCTTACTTCTCTAAGACATTTGGAAAGTAGAGGGATTTTCAACTTCAGACTTCCGGAGCACACATCATCCACATCCGTACTACAAGCTGTTATTTCTTCTCCATGTGTCGCGGCCTCCACAACTGAGATGTGCTCCTCACTGGCCTGCACACACAGGCACCGGGCCGCTCCCCTCCCCCTGCGCTGCATCGAAGGGCTTACCCACACAGCCCTTCTGGCTTCTGTTGCGTGTTAGACATGACAGACCATGCTTCTGGGAACTGTTACACACCCAGTGAGAGATGAACTGTTTACAAATTATAAACACACAGCCATTTCCTTCCAAACCAGAAGAAGAGAGTAAACTCCTTTCTATCCAAACTATCCATCTTGAAAGTGACACTCCTTAATTGCCAGCGCCCCTTCCCACCAAATACCATCACAGGCAACTGTGGAGATGAAAGCAGGCTGCAGGCCCTTGGCACAACTTCCTCAGGAGATGGACGCGTTCCCATATTCGGCCTGTCTCCAGTGCACAGACCAGGACACGGTCTGGGGTCTGTCATACCTTTATTGTCTGGAACAGGGATTGCTGTAAATGACATCACCGCAGCCTCTTGCCCCTTCTCATTGTTGAAAGTCCATGGTGGCGATCTGCGTTAGAAACCAAATTAGACTCCACAATTTTGCCTGCCTTCCTTTTGTGTGCTTTCAGTTAATAGCATAAAACTTTCAGGAACTAGTTTTTGGCTTTTGGAGAACTAAAAGTACAAACAAAACTTTGAAGAGAGGAGATTTTTTTTCTTTCTTATACCTGATAGGCCACACAAGAAATTGCTTGTTAGAAGTATAGTTTGCTGGGGACCCTGGAACACAGATAATGGCTAGGGTTCAGCCAACAGCAATCAGCTGACATTTCCTATTTGTATTAGATTCCATACGTGGAATTCTTCTACGTGGACCTTATTTGTACGGATGGATTACAATGAAAATTGCATTAATTTTCTACACAGTAAAGGTCAGTAATTGAAGCATGAACCAAGAAACTATTGTGCAAAATGCTGTATTTCTACTTAAGAAAGGTCATGCAAAGCAATAATATCTTGTTTTCATTGTGGAAGGTATAAATACTTGCATTAGAGTTTCTTTCTTTTTCCAGCCCCACAATTACTTACATAGACTATTTCAGCATTTACTATTAACACCAGGAAGAAGAAATCATAAGGGCATGTAATAATAATAAACCTGCCTATTGCTATCATAAAAAACTTCACAGTGATGACTGCATTGCGGGTTGGTTGGTTTTTAGCTCAGCTCTCAGAAACAGGGCTTGAATGAGCTGTCCTTTTAGGATGATCAGTGAGTTCACAATGGGGCGGGGGGAAGTTACCCTTTCATATTAATTATGGGTAAAAAAACACATGGATTTTCTTTTAAGAAAATGCGAAATATCTAATGCACTTTTGTTGATCAGTCGTGGAACATGTTATCATGAAAGGATGCCAATAAATATTATAGTATATCCTCTTTTCACAAGTTAGGATGTCATTATGAAAATTTACATACTTTTTAAATTGTCGATTTCAGTATTTGAAAATAGTTTCCATCATCCAGACTGATTAGCCCACTCCTCACTCCCCAGGCAGAGCCTTCTTAGAGAGAGAAGCACGTGGCGTATGTCTTCAGAAGGAGTTTGCTGTAGATTAATGTGCATAGTCCTTTGGGTGAGCTGGATGGGTCCATCATGCCTCATTCCCTGTGTTTTCTTGTCTCCAGAGAGAGAACTTGGTCTGTAGTATGTCACCTGGGGGAGACTGTCGTTCTCAGAGGAAGTCTCCTTACAATCCAATAGTGACAGTAGCTGTGCTTATGATTCCTTTTTGACTTCTTAAGAATATCCAAAACAGCAAGTTAGTTTGATTAGTGATTTTTTAAGCTCTTGATATTGACTGAGCAGTGGTATGTTAAGATGATAAGGTGTGGTATTTTTAAGAAGATAAAAAAATCAAAGAATATCTCTGAAAGATTAACAGTAATTGAATACACACACATTTTTAGAGCCTATGCAATCTGTATATACAAGGCATATTGCAGAGGACCTGCTTATGAATAATTTTCAGGGGAATAAAGTAAATGGCCATTCTGATTTAACTGCTTTTAATTTGATTAAATATGATTTTTTTTTTAGTGCCGAAGCGATTTAATTGCTAACATTTCTACCATATCATCTTAGCTTCAAGATTTTAATATTAAAATGGAGTCCAGCCAATTCTTAATTATCAGTTTATGCATGTTTGAATGAGAAGGGATTGGCTTCCTTATTTCCTGCAGGCTTTTCTCTGACACATCAACTAGATCAAGTTTTCCTTTTAAATATGAAACCTTCATTCTTAAAAATATTTTGGCTTCATTACCTTTAGAAGTAATCCAGAATTAATCCAGAAGTGATTTAGCAATCTTACCTTTCGAGGCATTATTTATCCTACTTACTGTCAGGCTCACTAATATTCCTCGTACTTGTGGATTTTCTTTGAGATTTCTACTTTGAAGATTATACTTGGTAAGGTACTCCCAAATATTGTGAAATATGATATAATAGAGTGGAAATTGGATGAATTCTCTCTCTCTCTATTAGCTAATGTGAACTGTCTAACAGAAGACAGTCAGAGACTCTGATTGCATAGACTGTAACACATCTAGATGTTTAATTTCCTATTGCCTGAAATTTTTACGTCATGTTAATGTATGCTACATTGGCTATTGTATCTTAATTACCCACAAGTCATTGTTTTTCGGAGGATTGTACCTGTTCCTCTTGTCTTTCTTAATGAAATTCCCTCTGTTTCAGTGTGGTTTGCCTTAAGTCCTAATTATCCAATGAATTAACCGATAATTAATAAATAACTTACAAGATAATTGATAGAAAGGTAGGGGACACCGCTTTTTTTCCTGAAGGAGTAATAAATGACACAAAAGTAATAATTTAAAGCAAGATCATTTTGAGTAAGAGTTATGTAAGTAGTTACATTTATACAAATACTGATATTTATAGAATATTTACAATTTGCAGGCTGTTTTTATGTGCTTTAGCTCATTCAGCACTCAAAACAAACCATTAAATGAGATATTATTTTCCCCATCTACAAATGAACAAACCCAAATTAAGAGAATTTAACTTGATAGCATAGTAGCAAGACTCAAATCCAGCTCTTTTGACCTAAATTACATTTATTTTTTTATCATACCGGATTATTATGGAAGAAACACGTCATTAACTTATTGGTTCATTTTTCTGCATCATTATACATTTATAGAGTGTTTTCTCTGCATGAGAGAAAACATTGACAACTATAAACAAGGTGCTCAAAGTAAATACTCAGAGCGAAGTGTGATTGCTGCCTTTATCAGAGTTGGTACACAGCGGTGGGCAGTGCAGAGGAAGTGAGTGGGTGACTCGTGCGTGCTACAGGAAGTGGTGTTTGAGCCTCGTCTTAGCTTAATAAAAATTTCTGGTTGCATTGCTCGATCACATAAATATTTTTTCTCTCACCCTCCTCACTTCCCCACCTCAAAGATAATTAAATGACACAGGCAACTAGATCAGCAACTGCAGCTCGTTGTGTGCTTAACGACAGTCGTATAAACTTAGAGAAAACCATTAGCCCCATTGCCCTGTGGTGGCGTGGCCTCTGTCGGTTGGCTCGGAGAAACTTTGAATGAAATCAGTCTTCCCAGACCGAGAGTCTAAATTCCAAACATATATTTTTTTCTAAATTATTCCCAGTTTTCAGTTGTAGTTTATCAACACCTTCCTCTTGATACTGATTTTCATTCCTTTTACTCTTTCCACCCTCCTCTTTGATACCAGATGAGATTCCTGTTGCAAGCCCAAACCATGCTGATAAATACCAGTCCCTGTGGAAGTGCTTTGCGTAATGAACGGAGACAGAGAGCAGTTTAAAACCGCTTAAAAAATGATACTGATTCAAAGTCCAAACGGTCTGTTTTACACTCACTTCCCAAAGCAAAAATACTACTTGAGAGAGAAGTACTCTCCGGAAAGAGTAGTGATTTTCCCCCTTCATTTTAATAGCATCCACCATGCATGGAGTTGACTCTGTGTGTGTGTGTGTGTGTACGCATCCCCATGCACACACAGCACGTCTCATGGGAAGATGCCCTGAAGACAGTTCCCAGTGCAGTAAGCAAAGATTCCCAGAGAACAATTTTTAATCTTGTACATCAGAAATACTGCTTTATATTCTTTGTTATGACAGATGTCGAGAGGTTTTTTTTTCTCATGCTAAATGCCGCTCAATCTATTTCTGATCTTTACAATTTTTCAAGTTTTCAAATTGCAGGCTTTTAATATTCAGTAGGATGAAACAGACCAAACATACTCCCGCTTAAAGTCTAAAGTTATATTTTTTGCGTCTTTATTCTAGATAGCTGAAATTACTGGGAAGATTTTGAGATAGAAATTTTGCATTGATCCTTTTCGGGAATCCTGTGTATCCTGTGTTTTTTCAAGTTCGTAACAAAAAGTAAAATCCATTCTTTCTCAAATCTAGCATCTAAAAATATATGTTTAGCTACAATTGTATTATTTGTCTCATCATACCGGTGGCCATTACTATTTTTATTATTCATTTCCCTCTATAAATTGGAAGCCTCACGTGTTAAGAAAAAATGTAAGCACACGCGATAGCACTTCTGTCTTTCTCAATGAATCACTGTTACTCTTCCTTGGAAATCTGGTGGCAGCAGCAGATGTAATGTTGTGTTTGCTAAACTGTGTTACCGCCACATTCCCTGGTTCAATCTGAAATGTGTAAATAAAGCCAGCATGGTGCAGCCAGAACTGCCAGATGATCTCTCGTGTAACAAAGTCAACATGAGTGGACTTGTCTGGGAAGATCATTGCTTTTGAAACTCAAATTAACCCCAGTCTTCTTTAAACTAGACCAAAGGTTCTTCATCCTTTGATGTCTTTACATTCTCGAAGGGAAGGGGCTGACGTGTGTGAAGCACCTAGCGTATGCCAAGTGCTTTACGCGGGTTATGATATTGAATTCTGCAAAGGCTCCTTACGATCTCCTTTCCACATAGCAAAATGGGAACTCAGAAAGGGTAAGGAACTTGCCAGGATCACCAAATTAGTAGATGACAAGACCTGTGTTGAACGCTGTTCTTCCTGACTCCATCGCCTGTTATTTACAAAACATGCAGGCCTGCGGAGTTGGTACATCATATGGTTTATTTCTTTTTCTTCTAATATAAAATTCATTAAAAAGGGAAAGAATATTGTGAGAATTGTTTATTATATTGGTGTACGAACTCATATTTTCTTTACAACCAGAACATCAGCATTTGGGTGTTTCACTGGGAAAAAAAAAAAAGGAGTTAACTGAAATAGGAAATTTTTATGAAGTTGAGCCACATGGAAATTTGAGGCATTCACCAAGCAATTGTTCTGACCTAAACTCTGTGCTGCTGAAAAGAGGAAGCCACTTTTGCCCTTAGGGTCAGATTCCCCCATGCTTTCAAATCCCCCCTTTCAAGCATGAATCCTGCCGTGGCTGACAGAGACGGCTTTTCACCATCATGCCCGTTAATAGACGGTGGTGGGTTGCTGAGTATGAATCGAGTCCTCTGGCTGCATACCTCATTTATAATGCCAACCGCTTAAAGAATTAGAGCTGGTAGGAGAGAAAGGGGAACAAGGAATTTAAAAGTAGGGGGAAAAGGTAAATATGTCTCGTTCGTTGGCATTGCAAGAGGAAACAGTGAGCCTGGCTTTCCCTTCTGTGGAGAATGGTTGGGTAAAGGGCTGCAGACCAGATGGTAAGAAGTTACTCAAACCGTCCCAGCACGCTGTACTGGAGAGGGGGTCGCAACAGTCCGTCCTCACCTTTGCCCCTCTCTTTGGTCTGTTTCAGTCAAGTATCTTCCTGAATAAGGGCAGATACAGGAAGGGAAGTGTGTGCTTTTTGACATATTTCCCGTATCGGTGCCTTCACCGACAATCGCTGCGGGCGAGCTGGTGGGCTCCCTCTCACCCCATTCGTGGGTCCACTTCGATGGAACAGAGAATACAAGATGAGGGTGAAACTCACTCTTTTGCTGCACAGAAGGTTATCATAGAAACGGTCTCTTAAATTCAGACGCTTTTGCTCAATAATTTGGTACAGTTCTAACCCAAGTAAAATTCTAGATAGGAAAAACGTTTTGTTAGAGTTACTTGAGGTTTTAGGTTTCATGTATTAGATGTAGCGGCTATGATGACCCAGCAAGGCAAGAGCCGAGAGGACACTAGCCAAAGCCCATTAATGACAGATTTCCCGAGGGAGCTAGAATGGTAGCAGAATATAAGAAATAGTGTAAAAATCCCACTGTTTATGAATCTTCTTTCCTCCATTTGAGTAATTTCTAAGTTATTTTTATAAGCATTTGCTACCTAACATGGTAAGACACATTTAAGATTTTCTATATTCAAAGTAAAGACAATATTCTTGGAAAGCTGAATTGCATTTCACATGAAGAATTAGAGACGGAAGAACATGGACTTATATTTGCATGAAATTTCATAAGGAAAAAATGATCAATTATTGGGCATCCTCCTTAGAAATCACCTGGGTAGGAAGCGGTCCTCTGCAATGTACTGTCTGGTGACACTGTCGCCTCTCTCCAGCTGCTTGCTCCAGTTTCAAGGTGGTTGCCAGAGGATGACCGAAATGTTCGTTAGGCCCGCTTCAGTGGGTTTAAAACACAATGAAAATGCAGCAGTATTTGGCTAAGAAGCCACATTACTAGGGAACATGTCATCCAACATGCACGTTGTTACCTGCTAGAAACACTTCTGAAGTATCTGACAGGAGGTGGGGAAGACAAACTGGCAGAGAGCCTCGTGAAGACAGAGAGGGAATCAGGGTCAGCCAAACAGAAGGAATTGCAGAGTTCCCTGACATAAGCCTGAGCTCCCCAGGGAAGTGAAGCTCCTGGAAGCTCTTGGGAGTGCCACGCAGTACCTCATGACACTGAGGTAGCATCTGAGGCTCGCACACCCCGAGTGGTGGCATCTGAATGAGTGGGCAGGGACGTTGTGGAATCAATAAATATTTAAGTTGTGAAAAATGTAACTGACCTCTTAGAGTCACTCTGTTGATAATAACCATGCTATTATACCACGGTATAAGAATTTCTATAGCAGGGCAATAAAAATAAAGGAACTGAGTCGAGTCTTGATTTTATGTCTCGTAGGAATCCGAGAAAAAAGGCTTGATTGAAAGAATCTATATGGTACAGGATATTGTTTCAACAGTTCAAAACGTCTTGGAGGAAATCGCTTCTTTTGGAGAAAGAATTAAAAAGTAAGTTCGACATTTGGGGTGTGGTGTTTGAATTAGAGTTATCGTCCACAAGGACAGGTGGGGGTGGGAAGGGTGGGGTCAGAAAATACAGAAACCAAGACCGAAAGCATTGGTGTCAGGCAAACGCTGTTAACTTTGGTTGGTTTCTTCTTTGTGCTTGTCGATTTCACAGTTGGGCAGTACCTCAGTCCTGGGGTGACCACATGGCCCAATTTACACCAGTCGCCCCAGTATAATTATTAATGTTGCCCCCTTGCACTCTCGAAAATATCCTGGATTGGGTGATAAACTAGATTAAAAATTAGATTGTTCTACTGACACATAAAAAGAGAAGCAGGTCTGCTCTAAAGGAGCCTTTTTCATCAGAACCACAGAGCACAGTAATGCCTTGAGTGGGCAAGGTCTGACCAGCCCGGAAAGAGCTGTGGGAGAGAGACAGACAGACGGAGGGCAGTTCTGAAGAAGCAACAACTTATCAGCTTCTCTGAGAACTGGAAGAGATAGCTGGGCACGGAATTGATGAATGGGGGCTCCAGTAGGTGGGAGCCCGGTGCCCAGGCTCAAAGCCCAAGACTGTGCTACATCCAGGGAGAGGTAGGAGGTACAGTACGTCTGTGCCACGGGCGGTGGCAGCCGCAGTGCCTTAAGATGAGGCAGATCATACAGGGCCTTAGTGGACGGAAAATGTCAATGCAAAGAAAAGCTGAGGGGTGCGCTGGCAGCAGCGGATAAGAGGCTGTGGAGCAGGGGCCAGACTGAGAGAGTAAGGGCCGTGCCGTTTGGTCAAGCTGTCCCTGTGCTTGGCCGTCTCCCACAGACAAATGTGGCTGCTGTGCAGTGATAATGGTCAAGGAGACGTGGCTGATGAGAGGAGAGGGCAGAGGGATTTAAACAGGCCCCCACTCCACAGTGCTTTTGAGGGCCAGCTGTGCCCAGCACAGCTGCGGTGGCCATGTCTGAGACGTATTTTCAGCCATGAACAGGGCACTGTTCTGCCCAGCTGCAACACAGGAAGGCTCAGCTCCTATTAATTCTTTGGCCATTCATTAGTACAGTGACCTTAAAGTTCCTGCTGGACATTCAAGCGGGGCATCATGTGTAACTCTGTTGGAATTCCATTGTAATGCAGAGCTTAAGGACCAGGAAAACTTTTACCCAACTGTTGGCAACTAGCAAATGAATAGACTTATATACAACTGGGGGAGCAAGGCCTCCCAATTACTGCCGGGGCGGGGGGACCCCCACCGTATTGCATTTGCATGGAATAAACTGTTCTTTTTTTCTACCCGCTCAAATACTATACAGATTTCAAAGGTACATATACATCAGGCTAAAACATTAATCAACAACTAGCGTTTCTGTTGTCTGAGGCAGCAGGCAGCACGGAGCAGAAGGGTGATTCATATAATCTGTCCTGTCACTGTGGAGCTGTGGCTCCAACACTGTGACCTTGAATGGGTAGGGAACCCTCCATGGGGGAGATGCCGAAACTGAGGCAGACCGACGACGGAAAAGCCATCCCTGCCAGTGTTCCAGCATAGGCCTTCGATGGCACATCCACAGGAAGTCGTACTTCTCTGGCTAGGAAGTGATGTTAAGAAATACTAAGCACTGGAGCTGAGAGAGCAGGTGACATGCAGTTTCAGTCACGGTGAGGACCTGGGAAGGATAGATGGACGTATCGTGTGTTTAATCTAAGAGGGACGAGTTGAAAGAGACCAAGAATGCACACGGAAAACCTAAGGAGAGGGCCAGAGGCCTGGAGCGAGGAGAGGGCTCACAAGTTAGTGTGAACACCAAGCCCACGTGAAGGAAAGCACCACTGTGCGTTGCAAAAGGACAGTCCACAGCATCATAAATCCAGTTGTTTCTGTTTTCGGGTAGAGGGGTCGGAGGACTTCGTTTGCCCCAGCCTGGGGAGTGAGGAAGATAACGACTCCATGGACACACAGTGGTCACGTAGGGGGACAGCCAGTTTGGGGGCGGGGACTAGAGGAGGACCACCCTCCACCTCACCAGACTGGGTCACAACCATTTTTGTTTCGTGTTCTAAAATTTTGAAAATGATATTCTTAGAACACGATAGTGAACCTGAATAGTTGAATGAAAGGAATTCATCGATTTTTTTTTTTCATCAATCGAAAGGTTTGGCTCATTTGTCTCATTACTGCCCAAATCAGGGATTCCCTTCTTAGAATTAAGGGAGTTCCCAAGTCAGGAAAATGGGAAAAATCTACGAAAACAGGTAACAAATTGTTTGCTTTCAGGATGGAAGCACCGCACTACGCTCTGTGGTGAGAGGGCCTGGGGAGCCTGTGAGTGTTAGCGGAGTTAGCGTCCAGGCCGGGGGCTCCCAGGCAGCGTCGCCCAGGACGGTGCTGGCGAGCACCCTTTTCTCTCTCAGGCTCTTACGCAGAGGGCCTTCAACACGCCACCCTTAAGGACGGGTCAGTAGACAAGTACGTGCGCGAGGGTGCAGACCAGGAAGAGGGAAGAGTCTAGGCACTCACAGGCCCTTCCGAGGTCTCGGGTTTACAGATCATGCTCTGGGATTGCGCAAGATTTCCACAGTGTGCTGTTCAGTTGCACATCCCAGGCTCTATCTCGATCTCCATTTCCACGCACGTCAGAGCAGGCGTTCGATACAACTAAAGGAGCCCGGGCCCCGTGAGAATGTGCGGCGGCACCGCCTGCATCACCTGTGGCTTGGTTTGTAGTCACGTGCTCCCCCACCCATTTCAGGGCACTGTTCATCTTCTGCGGGAAACGAGTCTGGAAATCCGAAATATGTTGCTAGAAAACACAAAAGCACTAAAGCGCTGTGATAATAGCCTTCCTTTCCTAAATATTTACTGGCATCTGCATGTTAGTCGAAAGAGAAGTATTGACTCCGAAGTGACCTAAAGTAACCCCTAGTTTTGAAAATCTTTGTACATAAGCCATCATGACAATATTGCAATGCTGAATCACTTTTGAGAGCCAAAGCCTTCTCTTGGGAACTGTCAGTTCCAAGAAGTTCAGTGGCAGTTAGTTGGTCTGGTGACCTCCTGAAGAAGGTTTTTCCAGCACCCAAGCATTTTTGGCCAACTTTCATCTCCAGGTTTTTAAAGAAACTTTTCCAGTGGGTTGTTTTCATTTCTATAACTAAGAAATAAGCGTGGCAAAATGAACGTATATAGGTAGCTGTTCCGGCCTCCGAGGGCCTGACATTGGTGTGGTTTGTCTGCAGCACGTTTAACTGGACGGTCCCGTTCCTTTCCTTCCTGGCCTGTTTGATCCTGGCGGTGGCTACCATCACGCTGTATTTCATTCCACTTCGGTACATCATTTTAATCTGGGGTAAGTTTGGCACGGTCATTTTGCTAGCAATCAATTCCAGGTAAGAACCAATTACTCATTTTTAAAGGGTGACTATAAACTTTAAACATGCTCCTGTTGGCAATTAAACATGAAATTAAGGAAAGCGCACGGCGAACCAAAACTTGCAGGACTTCCCTGAAAAGGCCCATGGCGTGAACGATGCGCACTGCTGTTTGTAGGGCTCTTGCATAACTGCGATTGAATAAAAATGGGATCGTACGTGTGATTTCCCTTTGGCTTTCATAGTCATAAGTTCTCTTGGATAATATATTGCGTGGCCCAGTAATTTTGAGGAAATACTGTCATTCAGGCAGTGAGCAAACACCTGTATCTTGCTCTTTATATTTTGTAAAAGTAGCCAGGTTGCTCCTGACCTTTCATCTCTCCTGGAGGAAAAACTAACCCCAACCCAATACTGAAATGCAGAAGCAGTCAGGGGAGAGGAAGGGGCACTCGGTGGTTACGTAACCAGGGCTACAAAGGAAAGGAAGCGACCCTTTACCCAGGGAAATGGCGTGCCCGTGTAAAGTCAGGGAAATGGCGTGCCCGTGTAAAGTCAGGGAAATGGCGTGCCTGTGTAAAGTTTGGCTACTTTAAAAAGGTAAGAACAAAAACAGCGAACTTGAAATAAACTTCATGACTCGATTTACTATGCCAGCTGGCAACTGGACAGAACACACGCAGCTTTGTGCTTTGCGAACGTTTGCATCTGTTGCTGGGTGGGCTCTGGGCTGATCTAAGGAGAGCCCGCTGCAGTAAAGTAGTTGTTGGAGAAGCCGTCGGCACTTCTTCTCCTTCTTCACAGGGGTTCGTGTCAGGCCGGATTTTATTACTTGGCTCCGGTGATGACTGCTGAGTCCTCGACCATCGTCACTATTAGGGATCTTGGGAAGGTGTCCCAAGAGGTTACGCATAGGAGACACCGTGATGACGTGCATGCATCTTTTTTTTTCTAGTTTTATTTGATTAGTTTCAGGTATACAGTACATTGGTTAGCCGCTATGGAAAACAGTCTGGAGGTTTCTCAGAAAATTAAAAATGGATGCATTCGTCTTTAAGCAAAAGCCGAGAGTGTGAAAAGGCCGGGGAAAAGCTGCCACCTTTCTAAAACCATTAAGTGTAGATCTTTTCATAGAGGACCCATGAAGGTAGAATCCTGATGTTAAAAAGAAAAAAGCCAGACCTAGATTTTCAGAAATGGGAAAAGTCATAGGAATGTAGAATAACTTCCGAAATCTCAGAAGTAGAGCGATCTCAGGAGAGCACAATCCGTGGGTTCTCTGTTTTGTTCAGGAGGAGAAACCATGACTTAGTCAACTCCGCACGTCTTGACAGCACGGTATCTCTTGCATGGAAGGTGCTGAGCGTTTGATGCGTGAGCAAGCAAGGACGGCTCCCCTCCCTCGCCCCGCCAGCGTGCTGCTGTCGGGGCTACGTGCCAGTCCCTCGTAGAAATATCTGAAGAGCCGTGCTAGGATTCTGTTTCAAGTGGTCATTCTGCAGTGGCCGTGTGTATAAGGCAGCCATTCAGTTTTTCCTCTCTGACTTTCTCCAAGTGATTTCTGTATTGTTTTGTTTGTTTGTTTTTTGACTGACGGGCTCATTCTACTCCACCAATATACTCTATGATCTGAGACCATTCAATAATCCCTTGGTATTTGGATCCCACTTACTTTTTGGGGGGCGAAAAATAAATAAAATCCACAGCAGATATGCCCTCTGTCTGTGTGAATCGTTTGGGTTAAAAATCTGAACGTGTGCTGCTGGATGAGGCCACAGCTTCCGAGTTTGTGCGTGTGATCACGTGCCTAGTGATCAGCACAGCTTCCGAGTTCGTGCATGTGATCACGTGCCTAGTGATCAGCACAAAGTCTCTCTGTCGCTGCCTCTGTTGTCTTCTTGGCTTATTGACATCTACGGGGATGACGGTGCCTCCTCTACAGTTGTGGAATCTCAGATTACAGAATCCTCTTGCCTATGCGGACCAGTGCGATTCTCCTACAACCTAGGGCAGGTCTTTATTATTCAGATGTTACTATGAGAAATCTGAGGCACAGGACTGGTAGGCGATTTGTCTGAGGCCACACAGCTAATACATGGTGAAGCCAGAACTGGGGCCCAGCATTATTCCTGCCCCATAGCCCTTGTCCTTTACCCCGCTGCCCCTTAAAGGTGACCAGGCAGTGCACGATGTCCTGTTGACACTTGATCTCACACAGTTACTGACATTTGAGCTTGTGACGCCTGAGAAAAAAAAAAGAAGATAAGCTTTTGAAGCATGCAATCTGAGTGCCTTATAATTTTTATTCTGACTAAGTTTTTCAAACATAGACAGTCTCAGTGCATTGTGGACTACTTCTGCCCTCATTGGTGCATTTGAGCTACTGTGCAGGTTTATAATCTTCTCAGTAGCTAAGAATGCAGTGTTTTGATCGGGTGTGATATTATCCCTGCCTCGCTGTTCATTGTAGAGACTCCAGATGCGCACACTATATATAATTAACAATAGAAGCTATATCTTTCCTCAATATGTCTTTGTCTCCCTTTATCATTTTGCCTTGCCTGTTTTCTTTTGCCAAAAAGCCCATGCTACAATTAGTGTCTTTAGAATAACACAGTGAGAGTTCAGTTTAAAGGAAGGCTGGGAGAAATTTTAGCGGAAACATGAAGCTTGCTTTGGGGGCAGAGGGAAGAAAGACAGCACAGCTCTGACTGGAGAGAACAGGATCACTTGCAAGAAGTCTTCCCAGACCGACTACCAAGCTGCCATTTACTTGTGGACAATGGCTGGCTGCCGTTTGCGAAGCCGATGCAAAGTTGACTTCCTTTAAAGAAACGACTGGAGGTTGGCATTGTGTCAGGCACAATGCCATGCAGGAAGTCCCATCTTTAGATGAAAGCAAAATCATAGTTAATGAAATAAGAAAAACCTCAGACCTTGCACGGGTTGGGGACAATCGAACAGTTAAATGTTACCTTGGCTTCAGAGGAGGAGCCAGTCAGGGTTAACACCTCAGGTGAGGCTGCATTCTGCATCGCCCGGATTGACAAGGCCTTCAGATATGATCCTTGGTAAACAAGCACTCTGTGGCAAAACTTCAGAAGGCTGCTTAGTCTTTCAGCTTCTAAAACTCAGCACGAAAAGGGCTGACATTTGGTGAACGGACCGCAGTTCATGAGCTTACATACAGGCAAGGAGCAGAGTAAGGGACCAAGGGTGGTTAGAGGAGGTCCCCTCTGATAAGGAAACCATGGGCAGAGCTTGTCCCGAACGTCCCCATGCTCCCAAGGCGCAGCCATTGAAGACATCTGAAACGCTGGACTCCTTTCTCGTCATCGTTGTCCTCGGCCGAAATTAGCCCGGACGCCATTGCCTAGACAAACCCACGCACCAGTGTTGTGGTCCATAAATTAAGTTAGCAACCATAGTAAGATAATTTTCCAATAATAACTTTTCACAGTTTCCTGCAGCCTCAAAGTACAGTCAACATGTCAAGTTCTGTTCTGCAGTGAGCCAAGAGAAACCTGTGAAAACGAGTCGGAGGGGGGAAGATAGATTTCTGCAGCTTCTCTTTAACAGCAGAAAAACAACTCCCGCCCCACACCCCCCACCGCCACATCTGGTCCAGAGCCCCCAAGCAGAGACTTGTTTGGGCTAATGAAGGCCTCTTCCCACCTGGGACATCTGTGTCCCTAGCAGAGGAGGCTGTTAATCAGTGTGGCCCAAAAACCCAATGAGCTCCACAGTTTGCGTGTGTGTTTCTGCCACCCCGCTGCTGGGACTGTAATGGGGTTTTCACAGCTGAAGAAGGCAGAGCCCCTCTCCGACATCCCCCCTCCTCCCTTCAAGAACAGGCATTTGTCATGATTCCACATGACAGCGGCGTGGGCATGGCTTGAGGTCCAGTAATTGTTTTCACACTAATTTTTACTTGTGAATGCTGCTCCCCCACCTCCCCCCCAGGTAGGTGAATTTTTAAAGAGATGATAGATGATAGATAGACACACAGACAGATACAAAGATCTCCCATGTTTCTATTTTCCAGGCATAAATAAATTTACTAAGAAGCTTCGAAACCCTTACGCCATCGACAATAATGAACTCCTAGACTTCCTCTCCAGGGTTCCGTCTGATGTTCAGAAGGTACGTAATGAGCGGTCACCACCAACAGGGGCCCCAGCACGGAAGTCTGGCCAGCCCCAGAGCCCGAGGATCACAAGGCTGTGCCTGTGATTAACCGAGATAAAGAATCAGGAAATCCTTAAAGAGGACTGGCTTGCAGGGAGGCGGCAAGAAAACCTTTGTCCCATGCATGAGATGATTGGGGAAAATTATCCCGAAAAAGAGCTCCTTAAGAATGACCCGGAACTCATGCTGCGCGGCTGTAATGCGGTGGCGTTTGTCCCTTTTCTGATTGCCTGCCTCCCCCAAAGAGGATAAGATGGGCTCGGTGAGCGGGAGACGTTGCGATCCAAAGCTGAGGGAGGCCCGCTTATTTTTCTTCTCTTCCGGATGGCAGGCATTTTATGGGAAGTAAGGGACAAAAGGATTAATCTTTTTATTCTTGTTTGCCCCGATTATCTCCTCAGCCTTCCTTCTATCTCTCTCCCTCTGAAGACTTAGGGATGCTTAGGGCAAAGCCCCCACTTACTTTAATACACAGAGAGGCCGAGACGGCGTGAAATGATTTGAGATCAGTCAGAAGTATTATTCATAGGTAATGGTAACTTAGTCCAGTGGCGTCCAGTTTCTGTGGCTGTGGAGAGATTAACCATGGCAACAATGCCAGAAAATCCCATACGGTGGCTCGATCTGAGCCCCGTACGTCAGGATGCTGTGAGCCCAGAGGAAGGGGGGTCGGGCAACAGTATCGGTCGAGAACGCAGTGGCTGGGAGACCATAGCACGAAATATCGTGCCGGTCAAAGACGCAGGCTCTTATTATTTGAGAGGGTCCCAAATCAAATAGCGATTTTCATCTCTGAGCCACTGTGGCGTAATTGGTTCCCTGGAAGCCCTGGGTGGATTACGGGGACATCGGGCTGAAGGGCCCGCGAGTTTCCTTCCCCTTTATCCCGAGTTCTAGAGATTAAAATAGACTCCATGATGCTATCTTCCTTTCACCTTCATTTTACGATAGAATTATCTGTTAAAGTGCATTCTGTAAATACGATTTACTCCTTGATATCTGCACTACGTGATTATAAAGTACTCACCTGGCCCTTGCTAGTTTCGCATTGAAGATTGACAGGTATCTCGTCCCCTGCTCCCCTACGGGGCCTTCACAAAACACGATTAAGGAAAGTGTGCCTTTTTTATTTTATTTTTTTACCTATATGCTTTCTACCAAGTGCAGCTCACCTTATGTGATGGGCCTGACGTCGTTGGGGAGTTTGGCATAAATGCTCAAAGTACTGAGTACATGTGGTCTGCTCCACAGTCTTTTAATACAGCCATCCCACCATCAGCCCATCAAAGCTCACACACCAGAGCGATAGGATTGCAACGTACCATCACTTGAGTGGCAGTGTGAGTTTCTGTCTGCATCCTTGAAGAATGTAAATTGCCATCAAGTCCCTTCACCTCAAGCACTGTCTGCGCACGGTCCAGGCACCAGCCTGCAGAGCCGCCCTCCAGCTGGAGCTGGGTGCGTAAGGAGGCACACAGCGACAGAGCACTGGAGGGGGCTCGTGCCACAATCCAGGAAGACCCTCCGCGTATCGCCAAGAGCACTTTCCAATAACACAGTAGACACTGTGCCACGGGGGACTCCCCAGTTCTCACATTTATCACAGATGTTTTAGCCATTGCTTTAGAAATGAAATTCATTTTAGAGAGAAATCTATGTAAGTCTGGGGCCAGTATCAATTTCAGCATTATTTCCCTCTCTGGCAAAATAAATGTATATAATTTGCAGAGACTTTTCTCCCCAACATTTTAGATACTTTTAAATGGATAATTCTGAGTAAGTTGCTGTATCATATACTAAGATAAACATTCCCAAGAGGACGCATTATGCTTACTTATGGTGGGAAACAGGCACACACAGAACTAAAACCCTCTAGCCGTGTGGAGAGCAGGTAGAACCCCATGCATCTCATTAGAAAAATCTGCTTTTAATATTTTGGTTTCGAGAAATGATGCATGACTTCTCAAATCCTTCCTGTAATTAATCCCTCCATGTTCCTGTGTTTAGAAAATGATTCATTACCTTTGAACCTTCCTCCCTTTGCCTCGGTGTGTCCTTAGGGAGCCATCAACACACACTGTGGCGAGCTAGGGTTACCTTACTGCCTGCGTCACGTCTGCTTGTTTTCACAGGTGCAGTACGCGGAGCTGAGACCCTGCAGCAGCCAGAGCCCCCTTCGGAAGAAGCGCAGTGGTCTCTAGGACGCGGCCTGGGACACCAGCGCCCGGTTCTGTGTTGGGGTGATTAGACCAATACCATCCCTCTTTCAGTGGTACCCGTGGTGTTATTCTGAAATGCGTGTTGTGTGGCGCCCTGTCTGTATCCCCATCCCCTTCTTCAAGTGCACAGAGGTACACACACACACACACACACACGTGGGCACATCCACATCCCCCTTCTTCAAGTGCACAGAGGTACACACATACACACACACACACACACACGTGGGCACATCCACATGCGTGTGTGTCCTCCTTGCACAGCGGGTCAGCCCAGCAAAAAGAGACAGTCCAGAGACTGAAAGACGAACATCCCTTCTCGTACAGGAGATGAAGCAGGGCTGCCGTGGGTCCGAGCGTCCTCGAGAACAGCCAGGAGGCCACTCGGATTCGAGAGTGACTTTGAACTCGGTTTCACACCTCTGGCAGCTTCTCATTAGGATTCGCTGATTTTCGCTCCCCAGCCCTACACTCCTTTCAGATGACGATTCCTGTCAGTCAGCTTTTTTTCCCCTCTAAGTTAACCAGTCTTTGATAGCCACCATATACTCCAATAATCTATATTACAAACAGATTTTGAAATAATTACCAGGATTGATTAGCCCCAGTCTTTGGGAATCGTCCAGTCATGGTTACTGAAGACCTGTGTGTAAAATTTCAGCAAATGAATCGGTGCTGGACGCCAGCCTCCATCATGGTCCGGTGCTGGCAGCGGCTGCCCCAGGAAGGGCCAAAGGGAGCACTCACCCGAAAAGTGAAGGTTTCACGGAAGTATTTGGTTGCCTTAAAACACCATTTTTTCCTATTTTACTTTTTGCCAATTTCCAAGATAAAATGTGAATGTTATGGCTTCAGGAGGAAGGGAGAAGGAATGAATGAATGAATTCTGAGAGTATTTAGAAAGGTAAAGACTGAGGAGCAAGGGACTAAAAACTGTGGCTGCTTACCTGATTGTCATAATCACTTCCTTTGCCTGCATTTTTGAGCAGAAAGTAAAAATACTTTCGCAGTCCAAATTGATCTTTTGTTCCTCTTACCGGCATATGAAGTTTACCCACAATAAAAATATAACTCAGAGCCCCATTCCTAGAAAACTGTCACCTTAAAGTCTTTTCAGAGTATCTGATTCCTACAAACCCCACCGTTTCACAGTAACACACCCCCAAGCAGAAATCCCAACTTTGCACATATATATGATATATGCAAATTTCTTTCTGTTCAAATGACATGTAAGTTGTAAAGACTGTATTTTGTTGACACGTACTTTGTATGTGCAGTTATATATGTGTGTATGTATATAATATATGTTATGTATTGTAAAGAAAAGCTGAGGTAAAGAGACCTGATTTAATAGCGAGGCTTTTTTTTTTTTATTCTCCTCCCTCTTTGGGTTGTAATTTAATAATCTTCAAACAAAATGTTTATGAAAAATGCCAAAGATTCTAAACCTTATCATCCCGTGTCTGTTTTTCTTCATATTATATCTTCCCGGGTTGCTTTCTGGCTGAGCCAGATTTCTGCATGATTTGATTTACTTCAAGTTAATGAAGCTGGCTAGAAAAGAGTCTTGCAGAAATTATAAAAGCTCCAGTAAATCTCTTAGTTGTCCATACAATAGATACCCGAGAACCTCTTTTGTTAAACCAGTTACTCAATCTTCTGTGTAAACAATGCCTCATTGTCTCTCTCCCAACTATCATCTAGTTTATCATAGTCTGTCATTTTGTAACGACCCAAGTCAGACATTCTTAAACAGACATGTGAGATCTGATCAGTCATTTGAATGAAAACTTTCAGCAGCAAAATAACCCCTTATTTATTTAAAAGTGGAACCGATACTTTATTGTTGTTCTCTTTCTATAGAATCTCGAAATGAAATAATTTGCCGGACAGGAAGGCATCGTTAGCTAGACTCATTTTCTCTGTAGCCCAACCGAAGTTCTGTGTGTTAAGTTGAGGCCACAAACAGCCTCTGGGATGCAATGATGGGACCAGATCAACCTTGAATAAGCCGCATGTGGAAAACAATTCATTGCCATCGTAGACACTGGATGTCAAAAATGAATGTCAGTTGTGAAATGCGAAGACTTGTATAGGTAATCAGAGACTCGTATGAAAGAGTCTGGAATGCTTTAGGTAAAATGTATGGATTATGGGTTCACAGCGTGATAATTAAAGATAATTTAGGAAGACCAAAGTTTGGCCAGACTCTCCTGGTTCTCTTCTCAAACCTCACATGGCCGTCGGCAGCCCTGCCTGGGTGACTTGCAGGCGCCTGCGCCGTGGCAGGTCAGGAGCTCACCCTGCTTCCTCCCTCCATGTCTCCGGGGCGCCCGACCCCACCGTCTCCTTCCAGCCCCCTCATTTTCCTCATCAGCACTGGCATCTTCCGGGCCGGGAGGCCCTGGGCGTCCCCTTTTGGGTTCCTCATGCCTTTTTCCCCACAACTCTCAGTCCATGAAATGTGGTGGGTCCAGTGTCGACAAGTGATCTCGTCCATTTCCAGTCGCCACCGCCCTAGCTGTTGAGGCCTCTGTACCCTCTCACAAATCATGGCCATGGTGCCAGTCACATTATGCCAGGCTACTCCTCGTTTAGACTATTCTTTTCACTTAGAATACTTTCTTCTGTTTCTGCATATGCTACTCTCCTTCAAAACTTTCAGAAGTCTCCTTTTCGTTCCCACATCCTATACATCTTTCCAGCATCTGCCGTTTTCTGCCATCGCTCATAGTTACCAGAGGCCTTGACCCCCGCTGTCCTCCGCTGGATGGCCCATCTTATCTGGCATCTAATAGACACTCTGTCAACACGTGTTTAAGTGACCGAGTCACAGATGACTTTTCTTTCTCTACCCTGTCATGTGTGACTCTCAGCACAGAAGGCTGAGCTGTGTAGATTAGTGTGGTCTATCCTAGGAAATGATTTCTTGCATGAAATGCAAAGCTTATATTGTGTGATATTATTTATAAGCTCTGGTAATAATATCTGTGAGCTGTAGAACGATTTTTGATTCTTTTTCTTGTCATTTATCATTGATAGTCTAGCTGAACAAAACCGGCTACATTGCCTTGATAGAGCCAGACGTTAAGCAGATGCTTTCGAGCAGTGGTATAACATTCTCGAGTTTTAAAAAGAGCATCCTGGCTGCAGCGGGTAGGCTCACAACTATGAATGCTCGGAGAAGAGCCAGTTGTAGAACTGCTGCTCAGTTGACAGTGGCCTGGACTTTCAAATAGTGGCACCCAAAAAGAAAAAAAAAAAGTACATGAGTGAAATCGGGAGATGGTTATGGGATAAAGCGAGCAGGACGTAACGGGTACTTGGCTGGGGTAGAGGACAGAGGAGGGTCACGGGTGACGGCCAGTCTTCTCATCCCCAGGTCTAGGAAGATGCTGTTGCCTTTTGCGGAGGGTGAGAATTATAGGAGCCGCCATGGGAGGAAGTGCATGATCACAGTTTTAGATGGTGTTGACCTTGTAGTGCCTGAGAAGCTCCTAAACTGGGGATGTCAAAGAGGTAAATGAATGCATGGATATGTAGCAAAGAGAATACATGCACCGTGCTTGAGAGATCTACATTTAAGGGCCAACATTCATAGAAATCGATGGAAGCTACGTGTTTCAAGAGTTTGAACTCAGCACTCAAAGTCAGATGAGTAAAGATGAGTCAGCTAGGAGTGTAAATAGAAGTAGAGTTAGCGAGGAGAAAAAGTTCCACTAGAAGGAGAGGAGACAGAGAGGGCAGAAGCGCGGAAGAGAGGGGGCCTACGGGATAAAATTAATAAGGAAAAAATTAGTCGTGTCATGAACTCAGTGTACACCTATTAGCTACAAGAAAATCCTTCATGCGCGTGAGATGAAGTTAACCGTATTTATTATTTAAAACCATGCACTGTCGAAACCAACCTCTCCTTTATGTGGTATTCGTCTAACTTTTATGGCAGCGGAATGGTTGAAAAATTGAAATAGAATATCCTCTGAAAATATTATGAGTAGTCAATTGATGATTGAATGAAAATTGAAGGGTCACTTCTAAAGAATGGCTTTAAACTCGTTACCTGTTTATGTAGGTTTCTTTTTTATAAAGCCTGCCATTTTGTTCTGGCATTTTAATGTAATGATTTACATGGGGAAAATAGATTGTCAAGCATATCAGAATAGTTAACATTTTATAACACCAAATGCCAGGTACTTTCTAAGTGCAGTAGATGTAATAGCTCCTTTAATAATAAAATATACAAAATTTCTCTAAATACTATAGGAAAAAAAAAAGCCCCACCAACTCTGAAATAGCAAAAAAAGATTAACAGTTTCTACACATTTTATGAGGCCAGCATAATCCTCATTCCAAAACCCAAACAAAGTGGTACGAGAATGGAAAATTACTTTACAAAATTCTTTATTAATGTCGATATAAAATTATGAGAGCTATATAAATCTCTACACTGAAAAAAATAATGAGAGGAATAAGATAACAAAGGGATTCATGGATTAGAAGATTCACTATATTAAGATGTCAATAGATTGAATGTAAACCCAATAAAAATTATAAGTCTTTTTGCAGAAATGAATCAGCTGATTCTAAAATATATATGGAGACGCAGCAAGAGTTCAAGACTAGCCAAAGCCATCTTGCAGATTATTAACACTAGCAGATACAGAGATGTGTTATAAAGCTATTGTAACTAAGACAACGTGGTGTTGGGCAAGAAGTAGCAAAGACTAGGAGCGGACTCATACACATTCGGTAACTTGTGGCCTAATTTATGTCAAAGGTAACGTAGTTGCAGTGCATAAGGAAAAGACGTTTTTGGAAAATGATGCTGGGTCATTTTAGTATCCATGAGAATAAAATGAATCTTGACCTATTCCCTCTACTATTCAAAGAAATCAATTCCATATAAATTCACAGATCCAAAAGTGGAAGTTGAAATAAAGATTTCAAAAAGAGACATAGGAAAATGTTTTCACATCTATGCGATAAGCAAAGATTTCTTACACTAGAGTCAAGATGCTAATCTTAAAGGAAAAATATTGATAAATTGGAGATCATTAAAATTAATTTTTTTCCTCAAAAACTATGATTAAGGGTGTGAAATTATAAGCCACAAAGTTGGAGAAGATATGCAA